ACCAAGAAAATTAGTTAAGAAATCAAAATTCTTAAATTTTAAAGCATTTTTTTTTACTAAAACTTTGCTTTCATAATGTCCTTAAACTTCTCTGACTATTTAATCTACTTAAATTTGTATATATTTTCATAATCTCATGCATTGATTCCATAATAAATTTTCTTGTATTTTAATCTCAAGGCGGGGACTTCACAACTGTATTCAGTCAAATGTCTTTAATAAGGTGTTGAAATATGACAAACCACATATGTTAGAGAAAAGTCATTAAACAGTACTTTTAAGCCATTCACACGACTTCACACACTTCACAGACTCGCTCACTCCTCACTCTTCTGATTAAGCGTACAATTTATTTCGAACAATGATTAATGATTTTGCGTGCCAGACACTTAAGCCATTTTGCTTGTTCGATACTTTTTCAAAGAAGATTGAAAAAGTAAAACTTTAATTAATCTTACACAAGTGCAAACCTATGAGTTTTGGATACCATACAAAAAAAAAAATAAAAAAACTTGAATGAGTAAATGTTTGAATGAGTTACTCAAATAAACAAAAAAAAAAATAAAAATAATAACATAAATAAATAAACAGAAAATAAATAAAATTCACATAAAACGAAAAACAATTCATCAGTAATGTGTCTTAAGGCGAAAACTTTACAACTTTTTAAACTACTGCTAAGTAGTCATGAGCTTAAAGGCATAAACGAATAAATTTTACACAAATGTAGAAAAAGACAATTCAATAAATAAGCCAAACATGAGACTTAGACTTAGACTTCGACTGAGACTGAGACTGAGACTCATACCGAGTATCTTAAAGTATCTTCATAAGAGCGTACATAATTACAGTTCAGTCAATTTTTGAAATATTATTTTTTTTTGTTTATTCTGTTTTCTTAATTTAATTTTACTTTAGCTCAATTATGTATGTCGTTTTTTTTTATCTTATTTTTTTATTGTAAGAATTGATATAAAAGTAAAGTAGCTAGCAAAAATGAAATTTTCCAGACAATTTACATTAATTTTATTTGCTGCTGTGTTTTATTCTTTTAGATACTTTCAGAGCTACTTTTAGAGCTACTTTCAGCGCTACTTTGTTGCAGCTTCTCTTTCTCCGCAAGTAGAGTAAGAGCCACAAAAGGAAGAAAAGTATCTGAACGTCTTGCAAGTGGCAGAATAGCAGTAGTAAAAAAAGCTTGTAGTACTTCAAACTCCAAAGTAAATTCTCAAATATGCGAAACAAATTCTTCTATTTTTATTCTTCTATTATTACTCAATTGTGTAGTTGTTGTTGGTCTTATTATTGTTTTCTGTCAGGGAAAAATGAAATAAATATATAAAAGGACGTAAAAAAATTATGGTAATAAATCAACGTCAAAGTTGCAGGAAAATGTCATGACATTAAATTGCAGAAATGAGTCTGAGTCTACTATAAACAATAAACAAAAAAAAATTTTTAAAATATCAATAATTTTGAAAGGTTTTTTACAATTTATTGCTAATATAAATTTGGAAATAAAAAAAATAAATGAGAAAAATGTAATTTGCTATTGTTAACAATTTTAACGTTGTACGTTTATGGCAGTTAAGTGAATAGAAATAAATAATGGGATGCAATAGTCTGCCAAACATTGACATCTTAATAATTCTGCAGAGAAGTACTACCAATTATTGGCAGTTATGAAAATAAAAAAGCTTAGACAATTGTTTCTACAATACCATATCTATTGGTTTAAGATATAAACAGAAAAATGTAGATGTTACATTAAAGTAAATATATGTCTTTTTACCATTAAGAATATTGAGTGAAGGTACAAATGCTAACAATCTTTCATTCTAACTCTAGGGGTCTACTGACCCTAAATTCACAAAAGAACCAAACCAAATATTTCAAACAGTAACATATTGCAGGCACCTAAATTCCATGCTACCGCATTTATCCCATCATTCAAGTGTTTCAAGTGCAACCCACTTACAACCAGCTATACTCAAAGATAATGTGGGATAACGTCCAACAAATTTTAATTTTCTCCCACGACAGTTTTGCGTTTTCTAAGAAATATACTAATTCCTAATCCATGCTCTTAACACACGTATTAATATATCACAATGATGAAGGTTTGATTTTTCTAACAAATAAGCTAATTTGTATCCTGAAGGGAGTTACAAGAAGGGTTTGTTCTCAGAGTTACACAGCCCACAGATTTCTAACATGATTACCTGCTATTAAAGCTCAACACTCCGTGCTCTTATCACACGTATAAGTCAATCGTAATAATAACGCTATAACTTAAATTTCAAGTAATCCTTCAGGCTATATGTTTGGATACAATTTTCCCTTTGAAAAGTACCGATGTCTTTCTAAGACCCCTGCTATTTCTTATAGCATAGCAATCAGTTATAAAATGCTCAACCAAGACTTTTTATCCTAATGCAAAAAAGCAATACTTTTTATGCTAACTTGCTGTACGGTTTTGATTTCATGATAAATTTTTTATTAGGCAGCTGCCACAGTTGAAACCAATAATGCCATTAACTTGATATATGATACCTCTTCAATCCAACGCACCAAATTAGTAAATTTGTAAATTTACATTTTATATTATTTTTAAAGGAATAACTGTTTGTAACAGAGAAAGCATTTTAAAAATAATGTATCCCTTTAAAACCTATAACATACCCTATAATATAGACAGCTACAACTCTAACATATACTCCTAATTAAATATGTAATAATATAGACGTATAAATGTTATTAACATAAATCTAATAAAACATAAATTTTTCTTTCGAAATATATTCTTTTGTCGTGTATTTATTATGAAATGACACATTATTTTCGATATACGTTTTCCTGTTGTAAAAGCAGCATTTAATTATTTATTAATTGTAAATTAATTATCGAACCTGATAGGCGACATATTAAAGTTAAGTAGCTGTAGACATTTTCAATTAATTTGTTGATTTCGACTACAAAAATATTTTATTCCATTAAGACACGTCAATAAGCAGTTGCATGTTTAAATTAATTTACTGTTTATAAAACCTACTAAATTACGTGAGTAATTTTTATTGATATAATTACAAATATACTACTGACCACGCTCAAAGCAAAACTGTGCTGGAACTTATTATACACGATCAGTACGGAATTAAAGTCCATATATCTTTACCAATTAGATATGATTTCCATAGACAGTTACATAAACTGGCTGTGGATAAACTGACTTTTACTAAATACCAAACACAGCACAACTCGACAAGTCCAAAGTAAAGGAAATCTACTAAATTGAAGTTAAAGTAGATTTCTGAAGTTGGAAATGAGATACTCAAATACATAAGCGAAACGAATGCGTAGATACAAAACTACATAATTATAACAAAAAAAAAAAAATAATTAAGGTTTTGTAGATACAAAACAAAAAAAAATTATAAAAAAATATTTGAAAAAAATTAATAAATAAATTTATAAAAAAGATTTATGAAAAAAATTATAAAAAAAAATATTTGTAAAAAATGTTGTAAAAAAAAATATTCTTAAAAATACTGAAACATTAAAAGAGTTTGAAAACTCGAATGTAATTATTTGAAATTAAATAACGCTTAAAGTCACTTTAAATTAAAATATTTTTTTTTTATTTTACTTGAAATTATTTCTGATATTGTATATCAGACAAATTTGTTTGGTAGCATAGCTTGTTGGTGAGTTAAAAGTCTGTTAGTTTGTTTGACTATTAGCTCATTTGGCTGTTGATTTTTGTGCGTTTTTTGGTAAAAGCAACATCAGGCAAATGGATATCAACTAACTTGGCTCGTTAGTGAACCTCAAGAGATTTACAAACAATTTTTGCCTGTCAAGATATTTGAAAACAAAAAAAAAATCTCGCCTCTTTTGGAAATGTGTAAAATAAAATTATAAAAGTTAAGTAACTGCGTATCTATGTAAAGTGTATGCCTGTCTAAGAGAGTAAGTAATAAGTCAAGTAGCAAACTGGCAAACCAATAAGCAAACAACAACAATAACGACAACGACAACAGCAACAGCAACAACAATTTAAAATACATTAAAAACTGTTATGCAGTAAAACGTAACTGCCTTCGCAAACGAGCTAATAAATGTCTACCATTTACTCAAGCCAACACCTTGGACAACAAATGCAAACGCTTTACGTCGGTAGCACTTAAAACAGTAATGCCGCAAGTAACAGCGGCAAGAATGATATGAACTCCAATTACAAAATTCTGCTACTGAGACAACAGCAGCAGCAACAGCAACAGTAACAACAGCGACACCAACAGAGGTTACAGAGCAGTGACAGCGGCAACGTCAATGTTACTAAAAGACTAACTAACTACCTCTGCAAAGCAACACTTATTTGGCTTATGAAAATTGTTGCCACTGCTACTGCTTAACATGTATACGACGGTATACGTACTACTTACAGTGCCTGCTGTGTATGAGTAACATTTGTTAAGTCAATTTTTTAGGCGTAAATTTTCCTTACTGTGCTCGCCAATTGCTGCTACTTAGTACCTCTTTTGCGTACTGGATACTCTTTTGCGTATTGGAAACGAACGAACAAACGAACGAATGAACGAGCGAGCAGACAGACTGACTTACCGGTATCGTTTGTTAATGTTTGCATTGCAGACTTCAAAA